GAGTTAATAGGCTAATTCTATCGTGGAAAATATCACTCAGAATCTTGTTGTCACTACCAGTGATCCTGTCATTACATCACTTAGATTACTACGTGCGTCATTCTCAATATATTGATTTAATTTTTACATCAAACATTTTATGTTCACCAACTGAAACAATTATTGCGGCTTTCCGACAAGATAAAATTGAAATTTGGCGTTTCTTTGGCCGCAGTGTCTGTAAAGATGCTGGGCTCTCGCTGAGCATGTTTAAATTTACAATTTTACCAGTGAACAATTTTGTGTTTGGTATCGTAGTGTCTGGCAGAGCAAGTGAAAGAAGAGGACCTTGCGCTGGGTCGGGTATTCCCACCTCTCAGCCAAATCCGCCCCGTATCACTAGCGATAGCGCACAGAGTTGCGGAGTTTGCTTACGAGCAGGACACAGCCCACCTTATTCCAAAACCTGATAACTTGGAGGCCTACATACAGGACCAAATGTATGTACCCCGGTACGACTCGGCGTTGCCCGACTTTTATGAGTGGCCCGAGGACGCCGTCCACAAACCTCATCAATGAGATGATTCATCTTTCCGTTAGTTGTTTTCGTTCCATCACTTAATGCTATTACAATCAGTAATGTTAGCGTCTAGCTATTGTCGTTCTTCCTCCTCATCTGTGAGATACTGCATTACCATTTCCATCCACTTCTACACTTTTACTTCTAACTGGTTGTATAACCTCGACACCAAAACGCGTAGTTTGGATTAAGCATCTTTCAAGGGTGCGGTTGTGGAAGATAACGAAACAGTTTTGATTAGTGGAGGAAATAGATGGGTGTCTTGTTGTCTTGAGGTGGATGGGAGGAGTGTGGCACTGCAAATGCAAATCGTGGAGTTCGGTAACCAAGCTTCCTTGCTCATTGTTTTCATCAACTTGGAACCATGCACTATTAGTTTGCTTGAAGGAATATTGCAGATTTCAAGGTCCTTTTTGTACTTATATTCCGTCTCTTCGCGGAGACTGAGGACTGGAGTAGTTTAATATTTGACAGTGTTAAAATGCTGACTATAGTTAAGAAAATCTGGGATGCTGAGGAATCTCAACAAAAAGGTGGTAGGATCAAAAGCGGCGTTAGTCACAATGACCTGGATAGATTGTTAAAGAGGGTGGACTGGAGGAGGATGCTGTCCCGACCTGGTCTGCATGCGTATCCCTTAGGGAGTGGGAGTCTAGGATCTCGATTCAAGTTGGTAATCGTATTAAAATGAGCAAAAGATAATCCTGTCCTGAAAGGATAGAGAACCGTCGAGACGTTTATTATTTACAATTTCACTGGTGCTGTAGTCTGAACTGGCCATAAAACTTGGAATAACATAAGTCCAGAAATGTT